CTGGGCTAAGCGATGAAAACAAACCCTGAGTGTGAAGGGAAGCCACTGGGGGGTTGTCAGCTGGGGCGTGATGTGGTCCAAACCCCAACCGCTGTGTGGGAAATGGAATTCAGTGCAGTAAGGGTGAAGTGCGGACAGTAGCGGGGAGATTCCACCAGCAGCTCAGAAAGGAGACGGCGGCTGGTACTGGGGCTGATGGTCCTGGAGAAAGAAGTGGATGTTTTCGAAAGAGGAGAGGAATTCGCCAAGTCTACAAGGTGAAGGTAAAACAATCAGACAGAGAAGTAAGAATGGGAGGGTCCTTGTCAGTTCTTCATAGTCTGGGTTGAGAGAGGAGCTGGGAAGGAGGGCTTTGGGGGTCTCACTCAGCCCAGGTGCCATGTTAATCTAGACGTGTTCCTTGCAGCTTTATTTTGTATTTATGCTTTAAACATATCATTTAGAGAGAGTTGTAGATCACATGCACTTGTAAGAAATAAGGCAGAGAGGTCCTGCACATCCTTCACCCAGTTTCCTGCAGCAGTAACATCTTGCATAACTATAGTACAAAATCACAGCTGAGAAACTGATGGCACACTGATCGTGCTCAGATTTCACCAGTCTTACAGGCACTCATCTGTGTGTACTTACTTCCATGCAATTTTATGGCATGTGTAGATTCATGTGGACATGCGGTGAAGACACTACCGTTCCATCACCGGGACCCTATCACCCTTTTACAGTCACACTCACCCCCTTCCATGTCTCCTTTTCTAACCCCTAGTAACCACTGATCTGTTCTCCATCTCTGCACTTTTATCTCGAGAATGTGATATAAATGTAATTACACAATATGTTTCCTTTTGAGCTAGGTTTTTTTCACTCAGCATCATTCCACTGAAATCGTCCAAGTTTTGCATGTATCAGTAGTTCATTCCTAGCAACAAGTTCATGCTGTGCAGCACAGGGAACTATAGTCAATGTCTTGTAGTAACTTATGGTGAAAAAGAATATGAAAATGAGTATGTGTATGTTCATGTACGACTGAAGCATTGTGTTGTACTCCAGAAATTGACACAACATTGTAAACTGAATATACTTCAATAAAAATATATATAACTAGAAAAAAAATTCATTCCTTTTCATGGCTGAGTGGTACTCCAGGATGGAGGTACCATAGCTTGTTTAAACCTTCACCTGTTGAAGGACTTCTGAGCTGTTTCCTATTTGAGTATATGATGACCAAAGCTGCCATAAATATTTATGTATAGGTTTTTTTTTAAGTGAACATTGAATTTTCATTTCTTTCAGATAAAGTCTGAGAGTACAATTGCTGAATTATACTGTGAACACATATTTGCCTTTGTAGGAGACTGCCATATACTTTTCCAGAATGGCTCTACCATTTTACATTCTTGCTCACAGCGTATGAGTGACTCAGTTTCTCTGCATCCCTGCCAGCTTTGGGGGTGTCACTATTTTTTATTTTGGCCATTCTGGTAGGTATATTGTGATATCTCATTGAGGTTTTAATTTGCATTTCTCTAATGGCTAATGATGTTGAACACCTTTCCATATGCCTACTTGCCGTCTGTATATCCTCTTCAGTGAATTGTCTGTTCGTGTCTTTTACCCATCTTCTAACTGGTTGGTTGTTTTCTGACTGTGGAGTTTTAAGAGTTCTTTATGTATTCTAGATATAAGTCCTTTGCTGGATATGTGGTTTATAAATATTTTCTCCAATTCTATAGCTTGTCTTCTCATCCTTTCAACAAATTCTTTAACAGAGCAAAACATTTTTAATTTTGATGAGGTCCTATTTGTCAATTTTTATTTTATTGTTTGTGCTTTTGGTGTCAAGTCTAAGGAACACTTCATCTAGCCTTAGGTTCCAAAGATTATCTTCTCTATTTAAAGAAATCTTCACTGGAAAAATGAGATAGCAATAGTGAACTAGATGCCTATTATAATGAGCTGGTACTCCAAATCCAGATGGAAAAAAGTTTCTTCCCCTAGACTGATAGAGTCCAAAGGTCCCAAACTCGAGCATGCGTCAGAATCACCTGGAGGACTTGTTGGAACACACATTACTGGGCTCATCCCCCAACTCTCTGAGAATTTGTATTTCTAGCTGGTTCCCAGGTGATGCCAGTGCTGCTGGCCCCAGGGGCTACACTTTGAGATCAACTAATGTATTCTATCTCCACTGAAGGCTAGAAAAATTGAGGTTGTTGGATATTGTCCACACACACACACACACACACAAAGACTGAAGACTGTCCTCATGTCTACAAAGAGTTTTGATGAACAGACTCCTACATGTTGTTCTTAGGTCTACCGTGGACCAGGGAAACATGAGAGCAGGGAAGATTTCGGTTGTACATCTGGAAGATGTTAAGTATCAGGGTAATTGTGCAATAAGATGGACCAACGATGGAAGGCATGGATTTTCTATACCCAGAGCCATTCTAAAGAAAATGGGCCGAAGGCCATCCTTTGCTCTGAATTATTTAGAAAGTCTCCTGTCTGAAGGTAACTGATGACTTTTCTTAAAGTGTAGGATATGCCGCAAAGCCACTGTAGATTTGTTCTTCCCAGTTTCTAAACCTACTAAGTGTATTCATTGAAATCTTCAATTTTATAGATGTTTTCTATGTTAGACTCATATCCACTTAGTTACACACAAGGAGAGATTTCCTGGGTGTTGGCAATCAGGTTCTCGTGGCATACTCTCAATCTGGCTTGGCTAAGAGTCATTGCAGTCCTGATTCCCGCATCACACAGAGATCTCATAAACGTCATCTTCTTGCACAGTAATGTGCATAAATAATATGGGGAGGGTCCTAGAGCAACATCTTAAATCCATTTTGCCTGTTTACTTTGTTTATTCTTCTCATATGAGTGGAGAATCACTCTCAGAAACTGACAAATACAAAATTAAAACATTTTCACCATTTCTAAGAATGATGCTGTTGCTGGCTGTGTTCTTACCTCATCTCAGAATGAATTCAGAGACAAGACACAGAGGTTAAGAAAGTAAAGTGAGGATATATTAAGGGAGAGATAGTCCACTCTCAAGGGGAGAGCGGGCAGACTCAGGTGAGCAGCTGTGCTGAGTTTCTTTGGCAAGTTGGTTACACAGGGTGTAAAAATGAATGGGTGGAATATTCATTGGGGAGGGAAGGGTTTGGGGTCGTATTCCCTGATTTCCATCCCAGCTCCACCTTCCCAAGGGGAGGAGGGATTTGTGTCCTTATTTTGTCTAGATGAGAAGTATCATGGCGTCAGTGCATGATACGTACTTCAAATCTGCAAGGCTAATTCTATTGTAATGAGAGCATAATGAGCAAAAGGTTACATTCAGACTCTAGAGAGTCCTGCCTTTCCTCATCTTTCTTTGCCTGCCTCCAGGTCACTTGTCACCCCAAAATGTGTGATTTCTTATCAGTCCCGAGGTTCCTGCTTTTCTCTGTCTTGTTCACATGATGCATGGTCTCCTGCCCTTTGGCCCGTGACCCCTTTCCCTGCTTGTATCTAGCTATCTGCTCGCTCTAACAATACTAGACTGAAAGCAAAGAGATTGGAACCTCAGTCTTCAGGCATAGGCCTAACCTGGGGCCAGGGAACGTGACGGCACCTGCACGAACACCTGCTTCCAATCCATCTCCACGCATCCTGGCACGGAGCCACTTCTGCAGAGGAGCCAAGTGCCTGCTTGCCTGACCTGGTCATGACCTCTTCCAAAAGGCACTCTCTGTGATAAGCATTTTGTCTTAAAGGCCACATACTCCCAACTGAGATTTGAAGAGGAAAGGTTTAAGGCAGATTTGAAAATGCATTACATTTGTCTTAGAATATCCTTTTCAGGGATACGGTGAGGCCGATTTGGGGTAAAACACATGCTGTTCCTCTGGAGTGACAGCAACTTAAACTGGGTTCATGTTCCTTCAAACCAAGGTGAGATGTAGGCATTTTGGGAAAGAATAATAACATTCCCATTGACTTCAAAGAAATGAGTGTCGCTAACGGAGATGAGGAAACGGAACGTGGGTAAATGAGGCTGCTCTGAGACCTGCTTGTGATGGTGTCATAATGCATCTCAGTGCCATGTGGTCTTGAGAGAAATGAATCTGACAGCTAGGGCGATTCTTCCCAACAAGGGTTTCTTTATCTAGCTTGCCTGAATTTACAGAACACAGAAAGTCCTTTCATAGTAAGATGATAAATAAAAGTAAAAAACCCAGATCTTTAGCCATCAATGTATGGTACATTATTCTATTTATGATTTACTTTTCAGCAGTCCAGAACTGCTGGGTGGAAGATTACAGAAGAAATGG